CGTCGTCTGCGTCATAGAGGGTTCTCTGGGGTGTACTAGTGGATACTTAACGCCAGACTTCCCCTAGGACATGCTCTAAGGCGTTCGGTATGCCTGTGCAAAACGTTTGGGCTTTACAACCTGCAGGAACTCAAGATAGTGTGAGGCGGAGGTGCTTCACGACGAGTTGCCTCCTCCTACGACAAAAAAATAATTCAAGACGGCCAAGGATGAGATGCAGAGCTTTCCCTTGCAGATTCCTATCCGTCGCCAGGTCCTCGCAGCTTCACAGGAAACATTGCCTGACCGTTTAATACACCTTTAAGATCCACGAGGCAAATACCGTACCGTCCTGCAGCTGCTCCTTGTGCTCCCACCGAGCCACCCACTCTGCCCCTGTTGCTGCAGAACAGCCACATTGCTTATGCCCAGCTTGTAGCAGCCAACTGATCCAACGGATCCAGCAGAGTTGGTCTCGGGAGCCACTAAGAGTGATCGATCGCCAAACTATTCCTGAATCCCAACCAACCATCAGCAGCTGCTCGTCAAGCGACCGGCGCAGCGCCCTTCAGCCAACGGCACAGAGCAGTGCTGTGGAGCAACAACACCCTCTTAGCTTTTGCGTCAGAATATCTGCTTTTGCTTGCGGCCGCAAACGAGCTCCCACAACTCCGGGCAAATCCCACAATCGCTCGACGGGCTATGTGTTGCACATAGCCTTGAGAACTGTGCGTCTTCGTCAGTAGATAGCACGATGATTATTCTCCCATCATTTCGACGCCCACGATGCGTAGAAAAATGATGCAGAATACACAATGCACCCATTTGGAGTAGCCCATTGAGCCCCAGGTTTTGCGTTGCAGAGTTGCCTTGGTCGCGGCTGCTAGTCAGCTCGTTGAAACCCTGTGGTTCCTCGCTGCATACGATAGGGCAGTCACAACACACCACAGAGGCTTTGGTTTGGGGCGCATCAGCGGCCGCAGTCTTATTGTTTTTTTTTCTCTCTACATGCTATGCGTTCCAATGCTCCGTATGCAGCGGTTCTGAAAGGCATCAACAGACTGCCCCGTTTGGCGTTCGCTAGCAATCAACGAACATACACTCACCGACAAGCCGAATTAGAACAGAACCCACTACGTCGTCACCATCTTCCGTCTTAAGCTCCAGTAGCCTCTCTATGGAGGATCGACCTGCGACGCCGTCAGATTTGTCTCAACGGAGAATGTTAGCAGGCGAAAATCACGATTGCAGGAATACAGAATTCCTGAAGAGAATGAGTGTATGGAGAATTAAGGAAGTGATGAAGCGGTCTTCTGGCCTTACTGTCTCCATTCTCGAAAAGTGCTGTCACATCCGTAAGGAAGTTTTGCAGGTATTTCGCGGCGGTTTGCAAAATCTGCGGCACACATGGAAATCGGTAAGATATAAAGCGTAGGGTGAATGTCATCGGCTGGAAGAACGGGACCTCCTGCGGGGAGCAATGACCAGTAATCCAACCATTTGAGCTCATCCCTCATGACTGCCGCCCAACGTACTCTTTCGGTTGGCCAATCAGGAGAGGAAACCTGCAACAAACACGCAGTATTGAGGGCGCTTAGAGCAAGCAGAATGAAATCAAGCAGCCGCCGCCTTTTTTTGCCGAAGCTGAGACACACTGCATAGTGTATACGTGCTCTTCTCACCCTGTGCCAAACACCAATATCGAAAGTAAAGCCTCTACAGGTTGTCGTAAATCGCCCTGTAAATTTCATCCCACAGCAGCACAGGAAGACAGCATATCTAGAAGATATCAGGTCTCTAGCCATCTAGTGCCGACATGAAGCTGTGCTTAGCATTGTCGCTTTCGCTGCAGTCATGGACAAATAAAACAACTGGAACACGTTCAGACAAACCCTCACTTGTTATACCTTTGAGCAGGACGATTGCGCAGTGCATAAACCGTGCGTTGATGCAGACTATATTTAAAGACTGAACCACCAGCAGAATTCTCACCGAAACGGCCAGGTCTCTTGTCGTGTCTAAGATCGTCAAGAAAGAACATCACGCTGTTCAGGTCTTCTCTCGTCTGCAAACAGACGGGTGCACAAACATCCCACCGCAAAGTTTGTGTAAGGCTTCCCAATTGCAGAGACAACAGACACAGCAATAACAACACCGACTTCTGAGTTTCTGGAGCTTTCGTCCCTTAAGCTCAAGAGCAAATCCCAAAACGAATATTGCAGCAAACGCAACTACAAACCGCTCCCTGTTCCCTTCCCTCTCTGTTTCCTGCACTTAAATGCTCTCCGCTGGCTCTGAGACACGCACGACGTACCTGCTGTTCGCTGATAAGTGGGAAGAGGTACAGCCAGCCTTTCGTTGCAGCAGGCTGAAGGAACGACTCAGTCGCTTCCTTTACGGATGCGACTGCTTGCTTTATCCCGGTCGTCAAAGGACTAGCCGCCTCGGTAAGAGCGACCGCAGCTGTTTGTTGGTCTGCTCCTGCTATGCGATGTGGCGATTCTTCAGCTGCATTCGATTGCCCAGTTCCCCAGCAGTCCTCACTGGAATGCTGTCCTTGTACAGCTGTTAGCGCTCCCCCAGATTCCCGGACAGCCGGAGCTTCTGTTGGCTCTTGGGACTTTGCAGGCTCATCCCGTGGTTCCTCTACACCGAGACCCCCTGCAGGACGTTCAGGCCCCTGCGCATCAGGCATTCGCTGCCCGGGAAGCTGTTCTGGTACACCTGCTTGCCGTTCCCCAGACTCCCCACCCGTTGCACCGACTGCCGATAAATCAAGCCATGGAAAAACAAGCTGCTGTGTCGTTCCTGTCGAACGTGCCCCTGGATCTGCCCAAGCACCCTTCGTATCGGCAGTTAGTCGATAGGCTGGGTGTCCGGGCTGCTCCGTTGTTCCTCGCGATCTTGCACGCTCATCCCGTGGTTCCTCTGCATCGAGACCCCCTGCAGGAAGTGCAAGCGCCTGCGCATCAGGCATTCGCTGCCAGGGAAGCTGTTCTGGTACACCTGCTGGCTGTTCCCCAGACTCCCCACCCGTTGCACCGACTGCCGATAAATCAAGCAAAGGAAACGCAAGCTGCTGTGTCCTTCCTGCCGAACGTGCCCCTGAATCTGCCCAAGCACCCTTCGCACCGGCAGGTAGTTTTTGATGGGCTGGGTGTCCAGGCTGCCGCGTTGTCCCTCCTCCACTCCCTGTCGAGTATCCCCCAACTCCCGCAATGCCTTCTGATCGAAAGGGCATTGCGTACCCAGACCGTTGTGCTGCTTCTTCTCCATCAGCAGCGGAAATTCCCTTCCTTTCCGCGGCATTCGGCGGCCCACAAGGGTCTGGCAACTTTTGACCTTCTTCCTTTTGATCTTCCCGCCCTGCGGAAAGAACAGATGTCGTTGCACCGCTTGGCCCATCAGGCGCTGGAGCTTCGGCCTGCTCTGCCTGTTCACCACCAGCTGCTGCAGTTGCCTCAATTACCGCAGGACTCGCACGCCCACGAGGCTCTTCTGAAGGCAGATGGTGCGCCTCATTCCCAAAAGATTCTGCTGCTGCTGAAGCGTCCGCAGACCGTGGTGGTGTGTCAGGTGTACGTGGTTCAGGCTGACGCTCCCTTGGAGCTTGCCCTCTTTTCTTCGGACTTTTATACGTCCTTTTTGGTTTGCACGTAGCGGCCTGCATAGGAGAAACAAGCAACCACAGTCACTCCACAATGGCGTGCGCTTGCGTCACCATGCCACAGCAGATAAGAGTTGAACGCCTCGCTGGGCAGGGTAAAGAGAACTGGACAATGCAGAAAAAGGAAGCTCATATGCGTCACGACGAACTACGAGGGCTCTTTCGAGTGCTTGCGTGTTTGTTTATGCAGGACGCCGTACTTGTTCCGCGAGCCTCCTCTGGGACCAGCCGTTGAAGTTCCTTTTGCCTGCTAGTTGCAATGCACATTGAACGAGCAGGAAGACCACGACCGTTGCGACCACCGCGTCGGAAATGATTCGAAAACTCCGGGTGGGCATCCGGCTCCTGTGACTTATCTTCGGAACAGCGAACCCGTGGCCATAGTCCAACATGTATGTCTTGATAATTCCATCTGCTGCAATGCCTGAGTCCCCTCCATCCATTTTCTTCTATGCACGCTGTCAGGTGGCGGCAACTCTGAATTACTCCACCAGTTGAACGAGGGGGAGATGCCGCCACCGCAGACGACACAAAAAACGGCTAATCGAGGAGGTCTGACAGGAAGCTCGCGAAACAAGCAACGACGCCCAAGCTGTATGATTACCTTTGGGCTCAATAGCGAGAGATTGAGCAAATTCCAGGACCATGAGGAGTTGGAGAAGAAGACGACCTCTCGCCTTCTGAACTGCGTCGAACGACCAGTCAACGCGCCGCTAAATTCGGAAAAGAACTGCAAGATTCAGGTGAACCCTGTTGGGAGCCTTGATGAAATGTAAAAATACCCCGAAGAGCATGTTGTCAGAGCACATGGAATCCTCCAGAACAGCTCTCCATATGCTCTCATAAGCTACCAGTCCATGGAAGAGACTGCCGAATTCACGTTTAATGATGCAGTTTGTTGGATGTTTTTACGGTGTTGGATCACATATCCACGAACAGTATTCACTCACTACCAGAACTGCCGCCGGGAAGTGTGGGTGAGTTGAACGCACACCTGTAGCAATAGGCTTCAGCCAGCCATGAAGAACAAAGGCAAGCTTGAAGGTATTGAGTCTGTATGCTGCGTCGTTCTTCGGTCAGGGGTTAGCCTAAGAGGCAGCATGATGCCTAATGTCTGCAGCGTAAACCACCAGCCCACATTTTCCCGTGGTGAATTTTGCCACACAACATTGTGTCCTTCCAATTAAAGGCATCTGTCATCTGTGAGTGATGCGAAGTGGGGCATGTTGAACCGTTGCAGCAAAGACAGCCCCTTGCTGCGACGGCGCAAGGCCCGATGTGGTAGCTTCACCAGGTCGATACCAACTACGCCACGAGCGACTTATAAGATCACAGAAGGGCCTCCATATACCTCTCATTAATTACCCAATAGCAAACCTGTTCTGTATTTTGATTTGTTAAATACAGAACGAACTGGATAGCGTCATAATTTTCGTTAAGCGCTTTGTCGAGGCGTCAGTGGCTGGAGACAGTGTAGTGTCTCTAGGCGTCTCTAGACTGAAGCCGACGCCCACACACACAGCTATCTACTTTCTGCATTCCAGTTATTACATCACATTATTACTCTGCATTATTGTTTACTTTTGTTTCCTGAGTTTCAACGTGTTTTAAATGCTTCGCTCTGCGACACAAAACAAGCAAGGTGCTGATGCTGCTGTATTGCGTGGCGGTAACAACGCTTGCTCTCTAGCCTTAATCAAGGACATATGCGAGCTTCAATGCAGCTAAAGACTTAAAGTAAGACTTTCCCGGAAGCAGCCGACCTCCTTCCCCTGTTTTCAGGTGTCCTGGGCGTTGGGCTCAGCGTCTGGGTGTTGCGGCGACGAGGCTGCCTGAAATGGGTTGCAGCGCACCTCGCTGCGGCTGGTGATACAAGCTAGCCTCAAGTGTGCACGCAAGGAAGCTTCAGTGAAGCATACTTTACTGCGTGCTTTAACTCTGAATACACTTATAGGACGTTTGTGTTTGCCTACACGCAACCTACCAATTCACTCTGCCTCGAGAGGCTGACTGCACGCAAGTACAGGTGCTCCATACGTGTGTACTGAGATAAAGCAAGCAGGAAAGTAAGCTGTATTGCGCTCATGTGAGGCTGGCTTACATCGCTAGCTGCAGCAAGTTGCACTGCAACTCATGTCAGGCTGCCTCTTCCCCCACAGCCAACCCCCGTTCCTGAGCTGCTGTCCCCAATATGACTGGAAACAGGGTGAAGGGATTAGATCTTTTGGGGGAATGCCCTACTCTAACTCTTTGGCTCCATGGGAAGTCCTCAAGGCTCCGCCTTTACATATTTTACCCCTCAGTGCTCGCACGGCTCGGAGTCCACCAAGAAATGTGGAACACGGACAACACACACGCAAAAGGTGAAGGGACAGTTAGAATGATGAAACATTGATGGTTAGCTTTCGGCGAAGGCTGACAGCATTCATTGGGAGAATGGCTCTGACAGTGCGCGAAGTCTGTGTTCAAGAAAAATCGATGTGACCTGCGCTGAAATGCCCCAGCGAAAACGGAGACCACTTCTTTTTCTTGTGTATACGTTGAGCTTCTAAGTTTCATACTGAGACCTCCTTCACCGTAGCGCGGTGACAGCCGCATCTCCATCAGAATAGAGAGAGACACATCTTGGTGTCGAGGTGCTCTCCGGCGCTAATGAGTGTACAGGTGTTAGTTAGGCCCCTCTGTCTACCTATGGTTAGATTGGCACTGCCGGCGATAGCATTTCCATTACGTGCATATGCTGAGGTTTAGGGCCAGGGTGGAAGTCGACCTCATGCTAGGTTTGACGCTGAACGTGCTCACTACACGTTCCCAGCCTA